AAAAAAAAAAAAAAAAAAAAAACTTAGGAAATGGCTGATTGAATACTTACTGCATGCCATGCATATACTAAGTTCTTAAAATACATAGAGTCATTTAATCTGCATAACAGTCCTGTGAGATAGGAACTGTTATCATCCCCAATTACAGATGAAGAAACTGAGGCTTAAAAGAGATCAAATGCTTTACCAAAGTGATACAGCTAAGAAATGGTTTTTGCTAGAATTGAAACTCAGGAAGTCTGGGCTCATGCCTGAAGTCCTAGTACTCTGGGATTCTGAAGCAGGTGGTTTGCCTGAGCTCAGGAGTTCGAGACCAGCCTAAGCAAGAGTGAGACCCCATCTCTACTAAAAATATAAAAACTAGCCGGGTGCCATGGCAGGTGCCTGTAGTCCCAGCTACTTGGGAAGCTAAGGCAAGAGGATTGCTCAAGCCCAAGAGTTTGAGGTTGCTTGTGAGCTATGATGCCACAGCACTCTACCCAGGGTGACAGAGTGAGACTCTGTCTCAAAATAAAAATAAAAATAAAAGAAACCCAGGAAATCTGAATCCTGAGCCTTTATTCCCTCTCAAATGTCGGGGTTTTCAGGGGCATATAAAAGAAGATAAATAGGGCGGCACCTGTGGCTCAAGGAGTAGGGTGCTGTACCCATATACCGGAGGTGGCAGGTTCAAACTTGGCCCCAGCCAAAAAAAAAAAAAGATAAATAATAGAGTACCAGTGAAAAGCAGAAGTTCTAGGGGTTCCCAAACCTGAAGATGTTTTAGACTTCCTGGAATGTTGTAGCCAACCTCTGATGAAAGGGGAAGGGGAGAGGTAGCAATCAAGAATGCCCCAGGGAGAAAAATTTCAGCCAACCATCTCCAGAGAGGCAAAATTTGCTCTGGGGGAGGGGCAGTTGAATCCCTGAGAATGGCCTCTGGTAACTGGGTGAAGGCTGGAGAGAAATTGGGGACAGCAGAGGAGGCCTCTTGCTGGCAGCTCTGTTCTCTAGGCCAGACTCTGTACCACAGATATCACTAAGGAAATGGGTTCCTCCGAAGTTGCCATAGCAACTCCAGGCTCCGGCTGGAGCCTGGTAAAGAAAGGCAAGGAAGGAAAGGCGAGTCCAGGGCACTGGAGTGCCTGATAAGGCCAATAAGATAAGCCAACAGAGCCTCCTTTGCCCCTGCTCCACCCTCTCCATCTACCACTAGCCACTCCATCCACCCTTGAAAAAGCCTCCCCTGCAGGCCCTCTCTTTCTCCTCCATGATGGTACATGCCCCCAATGCCCATAACCATCATAAGCCAGGTACCCCTCAGCCCTCCAGGTGCCCCCAATACCTTTATTATCATCAGCTACTGCCCTCTTGCTATAGCTCCCTCCTGTATCTGCCAGCCCCACTTGTCCAAAAATGGCTCCAATGTCTCACTCCAACACCTCCGCTCTCTACCACCTCCTACCAGGACAACCTTGAACCCCATCCTGGGGGTTTCCCATGACAGAGATCACACCATGCCCCCTGCCACCTTCACTCCCAGCCCTCCACCCCCACTCCAGCCCCTGCACCCCTTGCTCCCCCCCCAGCCCCCACCTCCTGCTCTCCCAGACCCCTGGCCCCAGCTGCCCCTAGCCACCTCACTGTCTTCTCTCTCCCGGTTGCTTGATTGCTCCCCTGCTCCCTCCTGCTCTCCCGGGAGCTGCCGTGCAGAAAGGTTCTGTTCCTCCCAGAAAAAGGCCCACATGGGAACAGGAATGTGCAGAGAGATGAAAAGGCAGCAGCTGCTGAGACAGCAGGCACGGAGGGGGCCCCCGAGGGAGGGGTAATCCTGGGGACAACTGGAGCCTGAATGGGTGAGGTAGGAGAGGGCCCCTGAGAAACTGGAGATCTTGGAGAAGATGAGGAGGGGACAGTGTTCCACGAGACCACAAAGAAGGCACAGTGAGCCAGGACAGGTGGGAGCAAGAGGACGTGGGTGGTGATGGCACGGGAGGAGGAGAGAGCAGTGTGGGAAGACAGAGTGGAAGGGGGTGAGGAGTGCACAGGGAGATGGATGGGGTGGGGTGATGGTGGAGGCTGACTGAGCAGTGAGGGCAGCGCAGGACAGCGTGGTGAGATGGGACAGTGCAGGCCCAGGTGAGGCCATTACTTACACGTGGATCGAGAGCGCCCGTCCTCTGTACAGACTGAACGCGCTGCCGTACAGGTCACTGGCCACCGAAAGGCTATCCTCTGACCCCCAGCTTGCGCCCACCAGATTAGCTCGAGATGCCCGCACCAGCGGCTCCACCCCCAGGTGCCGTGGCCCGGCCCCGGTTGCCTGTGCTTGCCTTGGGCTGCCCGGGAGGCGGCGGGTGCCACCCCCACTGCCCGCTTCCTGCTCCAGGACCGTCTGCCCGCTGCCCCACCAGCTCACTTGCTCCTCTGAGGTGCCTGTCATGGAGGTCGGGGGTGTGTCCAGGGAGGTGCCCACCAGGGTATCAGAGCCCCCTAGAGAAAGAAGTACTGTGAGACCCGAGGCACCCCTGATGGGAAACCCGCCTGCCTGCTCTTTGATCATTCCAGAGAGCTCACCCGTGGGGGTGCTGAAGGCCCCATCATCCCGAAGCTCCAAGCGCTGGGTCCCCTGCACATCGCTGATGTCATCCTCAGCCGTCTCTGAGTCTGGAGAAAAAGGGTCTGTGTGGGCAGGGCCCTCCTCCCTCTGCCTCCACCTCTTCCCTGTGTCGCCTCCTGCCTCCCCCACACAGGATCTATCTCATCACTAGTAGGGCTGTCAGCGCCCTGTCTTCTCCTCTTTTGCTCCTCACATCCCCCAGCCCAATCTGGGATGCTCGGGATAACCCCTCCCATGCCAGTGCCCTAGTTCCATCTCTGGGCCCTGGCTGTTTGTCTTGTCTCTATGAGGTCCACTTAATGAATTACCCAGGCCTCATACCTTCTCCCTCTTCCCTTAATCAGTGGTAGCATAAGTCCCTATTCAGCACCCCCCCCAAAATAAGGTCCTAGGTTCCAAGGCTCTAGAGTATGGGTTCCAGTACCCCAGGAACAAAGGGTTGTCACCTCAAAGTCGTACTGTCAGGGCACTCGACCAACTGCAGGCCAGCCTGTCCTCTACCCCAAACCAGCTGGAAGGCAGCAAGGTGCAGCTGAGGCAGGGTGAGGAGAGGCCGGGGCCAGATGGGGAAGAAGGAGAAGCAGGGGGCTAGGGCAGGAGCCAGTTTCCTACCGTAACTTTGCTTTCTGCAGGAGCGGAAAACTTCGCTTCCATAGGAGCAGCAGGAGAGAGACAGGGACAGACTGTTATCAGAGCGTTTGTGGGGTAGGGAATGGAAGGCAGGAAGGACAGAGGGAGACATGAGGTACCCAGTGCCCATGAGCGAGGGGATGGAGACACCTGGGATGTGCCCGGCACTGGGGAACACCCATATTTGGGCTGCTAATTTCAACTGCCCCAGTGATTCTGGGACCCTTGGCACTTATTGGTGCAGCCACTGCCCACACACATATACCTGCTTGTGCTGAACCCAGACACAGACCCAAACTTCCCATTAGGGATCAAGCCCATTCTCTATTAAAATATCTGCATCCTGCTTTGACCTCTCCCTGCAAACCAACCCCCATGATATGACAGGCACCTTCCTCAAGATCCCTCTTCTACTGTTGAAAAATTCTTAAAAAATGCCCAGTGGCTAAGTTAGGAGTAAAGTTTCCTGGGCTTGTTTTTCAACTTCCCAGACTCTACCAAGTTCTGTGCCTCAGTTTCCCTTCTGGATGCCATGACAAGCAGGAGCCATGTACTGGCTACCAAAGCATGACACTGAGCTCCTCCCCACTTAGTCCTGCAGATGGAGAACAGGTAGCCCACCCCATGGCAGGGTGTACTGTTGAGACCCCACCCACTGCTGTCCTCTCTCCGCTGCTGGGCACAGGGGGCCTTCTTGGGTGAGTGCATAAATGAGTGTGGGGATGCATAGGGAGATCTTGCATCTCATGAACTGTCTTCAGGGCCTTGATGTCTCATGAAGGGACATGGACCAAGAGGGGTGGGCTTGGGCTAGAGCAAGGATGCCCACAGTCCACGCACCATGGGTGAGTCGGCCAAAGGCCCGGCGGGAATGGCCGGTTTTCTGAAAGAGAAAAGCCAGAATGAGTAGTTGAGGAGGAGGCACTTTCCTGAGGTTCCTATGCCTCCCATTCAAACCTGCCATATCAAGCAGAAACTCATTCCTGTGGCCAGTGTGTGTGGGGTGGGAAACAGATACCCAGAGCCACCAGTCGCCCCTAGGGAATGTCTCTACTCTGCCCTCTTCCAAGCTACCCAGCTGGGCTCCCAGGAGGATCAAGGGAAGGAGAGAACAGCAGGCTTTGGGTGGAGTGCTGGGACTCCCGGCTGGACAGAGGCTCACAGCCTGGGACCTGAGCAATACAGGAGACAGAGGACAGGAGACAAGGAAGTCAGGCAGACTGAGGAGAAAAGGAAAAGACCGGGAGGGGGGGTGCTTGAATGACAAGGAGATGGAGGGACCAGGACACAGATTCCTGCTGCGGGAAGGGCAGATACCTGGATAGGTGTCAGACGGGTAGGGGAAGGGTGATGGGGGCAGAGGGTAAGGTCTGCGAAGAGCTGGAGCCTCACGAACGCAGAAAGGAGGCCCGGGTACGCAGAGGACAGGGCAAGGCTTGGGGAATTTATTGAGCTCAGCGAGGATCCGTGTGCGTTGCTTTCAGGAGCTCCGGAAGATGGAAGGCTCCAGAGTGGGGGGCTGGGGAAGGCCGGGCAGGGGGTCGGGGTTTGGGAAGGACAGAGGCGAGGGAAGACGAGGTAGGAAAGAAGCAAGTAGGCGCTCCACGCCAAAGCCTGCTCTGGGGGCCCTCCCGGGTGGTCGCGGGGTTTGAGGGAGATCGGGACTGGTGTCTGCCCTTCAGCGTGGGAAGGGGCCTGAGCGCTCGGGACGCAGGCTGGGGAGACCCCCGAAACGCTCCCAGCCCACCGCCCACGGTCGGACTGGGGTGGGGCAGGCACCGCTCCAGCGCCCCCTCCTCCAGGCCTGGCCACGGTGACCCGCCCTCCCTCTGGGGCGCCCAGCCCTCCCTGGCCCCTCCCGGAGCCGCCCGCCCCCGGAGCCCTCACCTGGAAACGCTTCTTCACCCACAGCTTCTTCATGGCGGGGGAGGGGGCCGGGCCGGCGGCCGGGCGAGGAGGGGACGGGCGGGGGCGGGGCGGAGTCGGAGGCGGGGCCGGGGGCGAGCCGGGGAGCGGGCGGGAGCCGGCGCGGGTGGCGGAAGGAGCCTGGGGCCTCAGGAGCCGGAGAGGGGGTAAGGCGGTGGCGGCGGTGGCCGCAGCGGCGGCGCCAAAGCCCGCCCCTCCCCCTCTAGCCTGCATCCCACCTAGAGCCCCTTCCCGTTCCTGTCCCCCTCCGTCTTCTGGAGCGTCCCTCACCTGCCTCCCATCGTGATCACCCGACACCTCCTGGCGCTAAGAGCCGCGCACCCTCACCCTGCGTCTGCCTCCCGCGCCCTGGGCACATGGGGAAACTGAGGCACAGAAAGAGGTGCAGTAGCCCCTAGTTCAAGCCATTCTCTCATTGGCAGCCAAACGCAGCCTTCTCGCCACCCCCAGCTCCTCCCGTGGGGCCGCTCTGGAAGGTCAGCAGCATCTTGACTTGCTCACTCCACAAACATGCGCACACGTACACTGTGCCAGGCAGAACCCAACCGGCCGCAGGGCAAGACACCGGATGGGGGCGCCCAGGTCAAACGCAGGGCAGGGGTCCTTGGGGGTGGGGGCTCTGTCCTGACGTGGACCCAGACTTTGACAACACCCACGTTCCTCAGGAAAGCTAGAAAGGGGTTTACCTACAGTTTCTTGATGCCCCCTGCACAATAACCCCCCCATACTTACACACACACACACACACACATACACAAGCTAAGATGCTCAGAGGTACTCCTATCATTCACAAGAGTCTATTCATGTTCTCACTCACAGTAGGCACACTCACTGCTCTTTTTTTTTTTTTTTTTAGACAGCCTCACTCTCTCACTATCTTGTCCCAGGTATGGTTCAGTGGCATCACTGTAGCTCACTGAAATCTCCTCGGCTCAAGCGATCTTCCTCCCAAATACCTGAGAGTACAGGCACAACAATGCCTGGTTAATTTTTCTATTTTTTGTGAGATGGGAGGCTCGCTCTTACTCAGGATGGTCTCAAACTTCTTAGCTCAAGCAATCCTCCCATCTTGTCCTCCCAAAGTGCTAGGATTACAGCAGTGAGCCACTGTGTGGGCCACACACACCACTTTGTGTTCCTCTTCTCTCCCTTACCCCTGCCCTATTCAGCACTAAGCACACTTCACTCATACAAAATTCTATTCCCCATAATCATGATAGCTAAATTTTTTTAGCAGTTATTACGTGCAAGGGACTTTACAAATGTTACCTCATTCACAGCAACCCTGTGAGCTTGAAACCTGCACCCATTTTAGCTAACGAGTGACTGAGGCTCAGAGAAGTACTGTCACTTAGGCCAAGCCCTATACATTTGGGGACTCCACTTGGCCCTCAGATAGGAATTCAATCCCAGTATGCACAGGTAGTGTCATTCCTGATTTCTAAGTAAATATGAACACTTATTGTATGTTTAGTATGTACCAAGCATTGTGCTAAGCACTTTTATGAATACACTCATTTAATCTTCACAATGAGGAGGAAGACTAAGGCAGAGAGGTTATTTGCCCAAGGTCACACAGCCAATACATGGACTGAGCCAGGATTCTAACCCCGTTACTATGAGCAGGTTGTTCATCAGCCTCACATGCTCACTGGTCAATGGGTCCCTTAACCTTATTTCTTTAAAACTGGGATTTGAAATAAATACAGGAACAGATTGATAAATTGTGCTCAGCCTATACAGTGTTTGAGGTGGAGCAAGCATGATTGATAACAGCACTCCTTATTTTCAGTTTCTACTTGGCTTCTGTGATTAATTGAGCTTGTGGACTCTTTAATTTTTATTCATTTAATTTGAGATAGAGTCTCACACTGTTTCCATGGTGTCATAGCTCACAGCCTCAAACTGAACCCTCAAAACTCCTGGGATCAAGTGATCCTGCTGCCTCAGCCTTCCAAGTAGTTGGGACTACAGGCGCCCACCAGAATGCCCGTCTAATTTTTTCTATTTGTAGTAGGTCTTGCTCTTGCTCAGTCTCGAACTACTGAGCTCAAGGGGTACTCCCGCCTTAGCCTTCCAGAGTGCTAGGTTTACAGGCTTGAGCCACTGCACCTGGCCAGTGGATCCTTTATTTTAAAGTTTAAGGCTGTGTCTTATACATTCTGGGTGCATGCAAGTGTTGTTTTCCAGACCACCAGGGGCAAGTGTTCCACATACAGACATATGCACAGGGACGTGTGCAGAGAGGGTATGTATGTGTGTCCATACTAGTTCCAGTGAGAGGTCCCTGCACAGCCACAGGCTCTTTCCCTATCCACCGCCAAACACACCCACTCACAGATGAGGGATCTGAGTTGGGGAGATGGGGTAACTTGACCCCCTGTCCGCCAGGAGAATCCGAGGGGCTGGCACATTCCTTAGCAAAAATAACCAATGGGCAGCGGGCATGAGTGACGGGACAGCTGGGCCCAAGAGGGGCCGGCAGGATTCTGTGTTCTTGCCCTAGGCCAGCACTGCTCACCCCTGAATCACTGACTTGAAACATACTCTCAGGGTGGGCCTCATTAGCTTGCCCCAGATTGCCCCATTTCTTCCCATTGACTGGGTGGCCATGCCCCCCACCCTGCCACCTCCCAAACCCAGATTTCTAATTTCTGCACTGCCAGCATTTCCCCTTAACCAGAGAAAATCCAAGTCTTCAAGCTATGCCTGATCCCTCCTCACAAGACCCTCCTCTAAGACACATGCATCTTCTCTCCTCCCCTTTGCCTCCTCTCTGTCCCTCCTGGGTTCAGTTTCTCCCTCCTTCCCTTCATGACCCTGCTCTGTATTTCTGACATACTATATAATTTACTTATTTGCTATATTTTTTTGCATAGTGCCTGTCTTATCTCACTAGAAAATAATCTACTGGAGGACACAAATTTTGGTCTTTTTTCCCTCACTCATGTATCCCAAGCACCTAGAACAGTAACTGGCACATAGTAGGGACTCAATAAATATGAGGGTCAAGCTGCAGATGAAGAGGGTGAGGAATGGTGGGGGTGAGGAGGCTCCACTCACCCAACCTTCCCCCTTCTCTGTCCTGACCTGTCCCCTTTCCCAAGAAACAACTAGAGAAGTGACCCTCTCCTATTCCATTCAGGATCTTCCTGGGAGGATCTGCCCTATTTCAGGAAGGTGTTTCCTGCACAGGCATTGGCTGACTTGGGGAGGGAGGTGGCTTTCTGGAATGTCCTCTCCTTTTTCTCCCAGGGTTCCCTGTGCTCCATAGCCCCTCCCCCCTCCCTGATTGGTACTTGGCAGGACCCAACTCCATGCTGGTTTCCACTTGACTTATTCATACATTCCAAATTCTAGGTGAAAAAGATAGTAACTGCAGAATAGTTCTCAATGCAGGTTCTGGTGCATTCCTTACCTTTGCTGTGCCTAAATTGGCCCTGGCTCCCTTCTCCCTAACATTACTTCAAGTCCCCAAGATGATTCACTACCATCTATTGACCTTTGGCCCTTTTGATTGACATAGAATCTTCTAGACCATGGCTATGAGACTCCAAGTAACACACAGCATGAGCATCATCATGTTGCCCCTTCTCTTGGCTGAGCTCCTTGGCTGCCCTTCTTACCCCCTGCCCTTTAGTGTAGGTTTCCCCTTCAGCCATATATGCCCCAACCTTTGAGGGTAGCACTTGCTCAGGTCATGTGATTTACACATTGCTCCTCAGCCTATGCATGTGGGAGCCTGATAGTTTGAAAGAGAAAAATGTTGATTTATCTTGGAGACTGGACCAGAAGATGGATTTGGGGCAATTGACAGGAGAAGGTGATGATTACAAATCCTTAACTTAGTCTTCTTTCCACACTTCTCTTTCTGTGGACAGGGAATATGGATCCAGACCTAGACACTCAGCCTTCAGACCCAGCTCTACCACCTCACTAGTCATGGGACTTTGAGTAAATTTCCTCTTTGAACCCCAGTTTTCTTATGTGAAGAATGGTCATAGTATTATAGTAACTTAGGGTTTGAGGATTAAATAATTAAGTGAGATAGTGTGCCTTACACAAGTTAAAGATTCTACAAGTATCCTGTATTTCTGCCATCTTCATCTCCTTTGTTTCCTATCCTTTCCTCATTTCTATACCCCCCAAATCCCAGCACCATCACCCCAGATTCCCATCCTCCAAACTCTCCATCCCATAGCCCACTTTTATTTCCTCAGGGCCCCGACCTTCCAGAGCCATGCCAACATCCCTCCATCCTGGAGCTAACAGCTCGAGCTTCAGGAGTGCCAGGAACCTTAGTATCAGCCTGTCTTGCCAAGCCAGAGAGTAGTCCCAGCCAGGAAACTTCGTCCTTCCCTCTGCAGCCAGGTTTTTGCTTGGCTTCCTCGAGTACCCTGAAGTCCTCCTCCTATTGCTTCCAACCAAGAAAGTTTTCCATGAGTAAGTCTGAGCAACACTGAGCAGCCTGCCCAGCTGCCTGGACCAGGACCTATCACTGGGCAGGGCCATCTTCTTATTGGGAGGAAGCCAGACTCACCCAGTTAGTCCCCTAATCACCAAAGCAAACCCTTCCCTCCCCAAATCAAGTGGGAGAGGCGTACTAGTTATGCACACAGTTCTGAGTAGTGGGGAAGCTGAGGCTTCCACCTATTCTGTTATTTTCTATGTGGACATGTCCTTAAATGTGACTTGCTGCAGCCCAATCCTCTTCCTGATCTAACATGAATGTCAAAAGACCCCAGATCTGGGCAGTGCCTGTGGCTCAGTGAGTAGGGCGCCGGCCTCATACACCGAGGGTGGCAGGTTCAAACCTGGCCTCAGCCAAACTGCAACAAAAAAATAGCTGGGCATTGTGGTGGGTGCCTGTAGTCCCAGCTATTTGGGAGGCTGAGACAAGGGAATCGCCTAAGCCCAAGAGCTGGTGGTTGCTGTGAGCTGTGATGCCACAGTACTCTACGAAGGGTGACAAAGTGAGACTCTGTCTCTTAAAAACAAACAAACAACAACAACAACAAAAAATCCCCAGATTCAGCCCCATGGCACCCAGGGCCATTTCTTCATCCCAAGCCTCTCAAGCCTGCTGATCCACAAGAGCAGCCTACCCTGCATGCTGTCCCCCCTGGTTTCTGCCTAGGTATGCCCAGCTAGGACTCAGCTTCACTGACTACACCACTTAGGCCGCAGAAGGTCTGAGGCTCTTACACCTCATCACTCCCCCCAATTTGAGTGACCAGGGCAGGCCAGGAAGCTCCCGTCTTCAGAAATGCCAGGCCAGGGAAAATCATGTGGTGGCTACTTCCCAAATATTGGACAGCTCTCCCTCCTTCTCTCTTTCTCTTTCCCCTCCCTCCAGAACTTCTTGAGTAGTACAAAGCCTCCATAGCCAAAACCAAGACTAGGTTCTCAGCTCTGGGATGGTCATAACTAGCTCTGTTTATAACTAAACTAGTATGTCTGTGGCAGATCTCCCTCCTCTTTGGTCCACAGTGTTCTCCCCTGTAAAAGGGTGTGTTTTAGAACTGTAGTTCTCTGTGGTCCTTCCCAACTTCAAACAAATGTTATGATCACTACTCTCCTCAGCACTTTCTTTCCCTTTCCTAATATCTTTCTCCCTTAGTTGTATTCTCATCAATTCATCTATCCTGCCCTTTGTTTTCAGTCCCTTTTCCTCCAAAGGGACCAGAGCTGGGGTCTCCAAGGAGTCTACTCCTTTGAAACTCAGAAGAATGCCAGGACATACGTGGTTCCCTGACCTCAAACTAGGGAAGCCTGTACTTCCCTAGGGGCTAGGCCAACAAGTAGAAGCCAGACTTGGCCACAGAGACTCCAGGAGGGTGGGCCTGGGGGAGAAGGGTGCTGATGGAGATAGGCCAGCCCTGCTTCCTCTCTTGACTCGGCTACACCACAGCACTTTCTTTTCCCTCCAGCTGTTGAAGGCCTTCATTCCTGTGCTCCCTTCCCAGCCTTCAGAGATGTACCCCTAGATGACACCAGCCAGCTGGAGTGAGGTACTCCTCTTACAAATGCACAGAACAGCAACCCCTAAGCTCTTTGCCATTTTCCCCAACTATAGCCTACTTCCTAAGAATTTGTTTCTCAAGGCTCAGCCCACCAACGCTCTATCTTTGGCCTAGAGAAGACCCATTTGAATAACTCAGGGACAGAGGTAATAAAAAAGGAAACCCAAAAACAGGCCCAGTGAGAACAGCCCTGGCCTGGCCCCCAGGTGAGCCCAGCAGGACCGTGATCACAGGGCCCTGGCTCCTGCCCTCCCCTTCTGCCTTGGACCCTTAGCTGTTCTTTCACACTCCTGGAAGCTACTCTATGTGGGCAGGGGCTTGAGCGCTGACCTAAAACATCCTTCAATGTGCTCTGAACATCAGTCTGGAACCTCAGGTAGACATGGTTCATGGGCTTTCCAGACCAACTCCACATACCCCTGTCCCTCACCTGTTTGTATCAGACACAGTCCAGAGCCCTCTGGAGGTGCACAAACATGCACACACATGCTGTATGTGGTTGTCCAGCATGGACCTCCATTCATGCCTATGAAACACTAGCTCTGGCTCTGCCTCCTGATGTCTTGGACCCTATTCATACATGTCACCCACTGGCCTCTTCCATGAGGCTCAGTGCTGACCACACCAGCACTGCCATAACAACAGTCTGCCAGGGGTTCTGGCCCATCCCTTCAATGGTGCAGCCTCGACCAGGGGAGCTGAATCCCTCCTTCAGACATTCACACATCTGTAAGGGGTTGATGGGGGGAGGTGTCTCAAGTTTAAATTTGGGGGGCTGAATCAGACCATTTCTCCCAGGGAACTTCTTTACAGGGGAAGGATGACTTCCACCAGGGAATTCCCTCAAGAGGCCTGAGTGGGTCTCAAGTTTGGCTTACAACTGCTCCACTTTGACCTCTGACCTTCCTGTGAGGAGCCTCTCTGCCTTGACTCCCTGTTCCCTATACTTTGCTCTTGGTCTGCACTTCTGGGCCTTTCAGCCACTAAGCCAGGACATCCAGAAAGAAGGCAGAGCAACGTAGGTACCTCCCCCTCAAAGCCAGGCAACAGTTCTCTACCTCTGAGCACCCCACCCCGCCTCCGGCTCACCCCTCAATCTCCTCATTACCTCCGACCTCCAGCACCGTGAGAACAGCCTCGCAGGAGGTCTGGCCCCGCTCGTTCTGGGCCCTGCAGCTGTACACGCCGGCGTCCCGCGCCCCGCAGCTCCGCAGCCACAGACAGCTGGGCTCAGGGGCCGGCGCGGTCAGGGGCTGCCCATCCCGGAACCAGCTGAGGCTAGGCCTGGGTGTCCCGCTCACCACCACCCGCAGCCGCACGTCGCTGCCCGCGCACACCGCCGCGTTCTTCAAGGGCCGCAGGAAGACTGGCGCCCCGGCCACAGCCACGGCTGCCGGGGCCCCGCCGCCGGCCCCCACCTTGGCCCTCTTCGGGGGCACCCCAGGACTGGGGGGTGCCCTCGTGCCCGCGTCCTCGCCTCGCGTGCCCCGGACTTTCTGCATGGCCTCTACAGGTTGGGCTGGGGGAACGCCGGAACTGGGCGGCCACGGGGGCACCCGCTGGATGGTGCCCTGGAGATGAGTCTGGGGGCCGGCGGCCTGCCTTCCTGCTGCCCGCCCGCCTTCGGCCTGTGCTACCCAGAAGGTCACCAGGGCGGCCGGCGGTTGCGCTTGGGGGCTATTTTTAGGCCCCCCGGCTCGGGTTGCGAGGGAGCTGTGGAGGGAGGGGGCAGCAGAGGAGGGACTTGACTCCGATCAGCTCCTTCGCTCCCTCCAGGAGCCCCCATCGCCAGCCCCAGCTTAAAAGAGTCCCTGGGGATTTGTTCCAGGCCCCTCCCCTCCTGTGTTGCAGCACCCCAGCCCACCCACGGGGGGGAATCGGGTTACCCCTGGGCTCAAGCCCATTTCCCTTCCTCCCTCCGTTCAAGCCCCAGATTCCAGCCTCAGCTGGGGGAGAGGAAGAGGAAGGGTCTGGTGAGGGGCTCTGTGAGGTTCCTGAGAAGTGGATGAGCAGGCCAACCCCAGTGGAGGTGAGTGGACAGCCCCAGAAGAGGGACCAGAGGCCTCGCCTGGCACCTCCATAGCAGCTGGTGAACAGTAAGACCAGGAGCCTGGGAGTCAGGTGGATTCAAGTTCCCAACAGTCCTGCTTTTACTTTCTGGGTGACATCAAATCTCTCTCAACCTCCAAGTCCTCAACTATGAAAATGGGTTGTTGAATAGGGTTGCAACAGGCAGGAAAGAATGGGCAGAACATTCGAGGTGGAAGGAATACCATGAACAAAATGAGCATGTTGGAAGTAGACAGTGCACTGTTTTGAGGGGGGGAGGAGAGTGTTGGTGGAAGACAACCTGAGTGAGTGGGGTGATTGGAGGAAAGGGAGGTGGGGTCTGACATGAAGTCTCTATCTGGTAGGCCCCAGGTGCCACCAGGGTTTTTAAACAGGAGAATAAGTCCATTGGAGGGGTGTTTTAGGAGTATCCCCTTGGTAGCCAGTGGGGAAGGTGGATAGAGATGAAAGCCAGTTACAGCTCTGGTTTTCCAAGAATGATGATTGTTAAAATTCCAGATTCCAAGTCCTTACCCCCAGAGACCCTGGTTCAGCTGGCTGAACTGGGAGGGTCCAGAAACCTGCACATTTAACAAATGGTCCAGCTAACTCTTCTGTGTCTAAGGGTGGCACACTGAGAAACATCAGTATAGCACCTTTAAAAGTCCATGTGAGACCTTTGTGATAGAACAGTCTTGTATCTTGACAGTGATGGCAGTCATGTGAATCTATACAAGTGATAAAAGTACATAGAACTAAATGTATGCGCACACAGGGACTACTACTAGAGTGCATGTGAAACTGGTAAAAGCTGAAGCAGGTGGGTGGACTATACCAATGTCACTTTCCTGGTTGTGATGCTGTACTCTAGTTATACAAGATGTTGCCATGGGGAAAACCAGGTGAAGAATATACAGGATCACTCTGTATTATTTCTCATAACCACATGTGATTCTACAGTAAGAAATTTTTAAAAATCTCTAAGTAAGAAATTAAAAAACAAACAGACAAAACCCACCAGAATGCGGTGGCTCATGCCTGTAATCTCAGCACTTTGGGAGGTCAGAGGATCACTTGAGGCCAGGAGTTTGAGACCAGCCTGGGCTACATATCAAGACCTCGTCTGTCTCTCCAAATTTAAAAAAATTGTCTAGTTGTCTTAGTTACTTTGGAGTCTGAGATAAGAGGATTGCTTGAGCCTAGAAGTTCAAGGCTGCAGTGAGCTATGATCACGCCACTGCACTCCAGAGCAACAGAGCAAGACTCCACCTCGGAAAAAAAAAGAAAGAAAGAAAGAAAAAGAGAAAAAAAACAGTCTAGATGGGAGACTCCAGCTTGACCTTGAGCTCTGAGTAATGAAGCCTGAAAATGCTGAGAGGAACAATGAAAGAGAAGGGTACTCTTAACCTTGCCTCCCTATCCCCCACCTTTATTCTGAGATGCTGAAGTCAAAGTATATGTGTATGTGTGTATGTGTATGTGTGGAGAGGGTACAGAAGGTACAATTTATTATGCATATATAGAAAAATTAAAAGCTTTGAGGATTAGTATTTTTCTTAGTGTGCATGCGTTAAATTCTACTGTTTGTGACACGGAGTTCCAGGTTTTGACAAGTGCATAGAATCGTGCATTCACTGCCTGGGGCCATGCGGAGCAATTCCGTCACCCTAAATATTCACGTGCACATCCCCATGTAGTCAACCACACCCTTCTCTACCAACCCATGGCAACCACTGATGATGCATTGAATTCTAAAATGTAAATTGAATTTTAAAAGGTAAAAAATGTGGAGGAAGGCTTTGGAAACAGATGGTATATCAAGAATAAATGAATAGGGACTTTCTTTTTTTTTTAATGTAATTTAATTTTTCGAGACCGTCATACTCTGTCACCCTTGGTAGAATGCAGTGGCATAATACCTCACAGCAACCTCAAACTCTTGGGCTCAGGGAGGTGCCTGTAGCTCAAAAGGGTAGGGTACGGATCCCATATGCCAGAAGTGGAGGGTTCAAACACAGCCCTGGCCAAAAAAAAAAAAAAAAAACTCTTGGGCTCAAGACATCCTCCTGCCTCAGCCTCCTGAATAGCTGGGATACAGGTGCCCACCACAACACCCAGCTAGTTTTTTCTATTTTTAGTAGAGATGGGGGTCTTGCTATCGCTCAGGCTGGTCCCAAACTCCTGAGCTCAAGCAATCCATCCACCTTGGTCTCCCAGGGTCTTGGGATCACAGGTGTGAGCTACCATGCTGGACTGAGGAATAGAGACTTTTTATTTTATTTTATTTAGAGACAGAGTCTTACTTTGTCACCCTTGGTGGAGTGTCGTGGAGTCACTGGGCTTAGGCTATTCTCTTGCCTCAGCCTCCTGAGTAGCTGGGACTACAGGTGCCTGCCACAATGCCTGGCTATTTTTTTGTTGCAGTTTGGCTGGGACCAGGTTTAAACCCACCACCCTGGGTATATGGGACCGGTGCCCTACTCACTGAGCCACAGGTGCCACCTGAATAAAGACTTCTTAAAACCTAATAACCCAAAGCCACCCAATACTGTGTGCAACAATTCACATGAAATGCAGTTGGTGGTCTGTAAATGTTGGCTGGTTAGTTGGTTAGCTGAATAAATGAACAATGTGAGCTTGAGCAAGTCACATCTCTAAGCCTCAGTTTCCTCATCTATAAAATGCAGGTAGCCCAGCTTAGGGTTTATTTATTCATTCATTCAACAAACATTTTTGAGGTCCTATTGTGTGCCTAGTATTGTACTAGGGACTAGAGATGTATCTGTGAACAAAACAGACAAGGATTCCTGCCCTGTGATTGCTTATACTGGAGAAGAGACAAATACCAAATATAAAAAAATGAAGAAATTGTAAAGATTGTTAGAAGGAGATAGTAATGTGGGCAAAGCTTTGCAGGGTGAGGTTGATGCAAGTGGGGTGAGAGATTGCACTTTTCTTTCTTTCTTTCCTTTTTGTAAAGACAAAGTCTCACTTTATCACCCTTGATAGAGTGCCATGGCATCACACAGCTCACAGCAACCTCCAACTCCTGGGCTCAGGCGATTCTCTTGCCTCAGCCTCCCAAGTAGCTGGGACTGCAGGCACCTGACATAACACCCGGCTATTTTTTTGTTGCAGTTTGGCTGGGGCTGGGTTTGAACCCACCACCCTTGGTATATGGGGCTGGCGCCCTACCCACTGAGCCACAGGTGCCACCTGAGATTGTGCTTTCAAATAAGGTGACTGGAGTGGCCTCACTGGGAACATTTGAGCCAATCTCTAGTGAGGAGGCAAATAGTCAGGCCTGTGGGGAGGACCACTTCAGGCAGAGGTACAAATATGCCTCTGAGAAGAGCCAGAAGGCCAGTGAGGCTGGAGGGAGCAAGGGGAGACTGAAAAGAAATGGGTCAGACAGGTAGCAGGGGCCAGATGGCCTAACATCTTGCAGGTTATAGTGCTTTTATATTCCCAGTGAAATGGGAAGTCATCTCCAAGTTTTGAGCAGAATTACATGATCTGACTTACGTTATTGTGATGGCATTAAATTATTATATTAATTATTAAAATCTATATTAACTATTTAAAAGGGCCTGGCACAGAGCCTGGAACACAGCTTGTCTTCTGCCTTCCTTCATTCATCCGTTATTAGGGCATTTGTTGATTTACACTCAGGGGTCTTTAGGCCTGGTAGGAAGAACACAGGGCCCTTGTGAGTCTCAGGCGCCCTCTGCTGGGAGGGGCCCACACTAGCTGCGACAGCTGGGGCTCTGGCCAGGCTGGTCACCCAGTGCAGCTGGCTGCAAGACACTTATCTGTCCCTCCGTGTGGGCCCCACAGTGCCCTCGGGCTGGCGCCAGGCTGGGTGTGTGTGCTGCCAGTCTGCCCTGCCTTTCGATCACAAGCCTATGGTGTCATGGAAAGAGATCTGAGCTGCAGAGACCAAGGAGCCTGAAGGGCCCAGTCTTCCTTTCCTACAGACTGCTGTGTGACCTTGGCAGGTCACCCACCTCTCTGGACCATGGGATGTTTTTTCTAAGCTGTAATTATGTACCAATTTGCTAGGCAGATGTGAAAATTTCAGTAACTGTTCATTAAATAAGTGAATAAAGTGGTGGCCATCAGCCTTCCTGGAGAATATTTAATTTAGAGAAAATGCCTAGTAGGTATTCACTCAGCAAGTATTTGTGTATTTAATGAGTAGCTACTATTCTTCTGGGCATGAGATACAGTAGCAAATAAAATGGATAAAAACCTAGGTCATCAATCACCCAAAGGTCATTGATGAATTTGAATATGTGCTATAGGTGAGCTTTTGGTGAAAGGAGGGGGTGCATGGGTAGAATGGAATAGGTATCTCAGGGGCAGGGTATGGGGAGGTAGCTAGGGTGGATAGACAGGGTAGGAAAATGTTCACTGAGCCCTCAGTTCCTGGCATAGAGACCTATCTACCTCC